GAACAAATGCGTGAGACTATTGAAAAGTTAAATGCTTGAATTGGTGGCAAAGCATAATAAGGAGAAGACACTTCAAGAAGAGATGCAGGAGTTGAGGAACAACCAACGCCAACAAGATGAGCGAGATGAAGCGAGATGCAACTTATTTTACAACATATTCAAATGAATAGTCATCCTACTACAAGTCAATATGATATCGACAATATACCAAAGGACTAATTTTCAATTTTATGATATTAAGACTTTGAATATTGAGTAGTTGTTTAGAAACATTTTATTTACGTTATGACTTTGAATTGTTCTTATTATGATTTGAATAATTTGACTTTAATTCTTAAGTTTTCATTTGTGTTCTGTTTGGATCAATTAAGCGGTACAAATTTTGCAAAATTGGATATACAAAATTTTAAACGAAAATTTTCAGATTTGGTTAGATTAGCGACCGAATTTTTGGTCGCTACAAATATATTATAATATACAATTCAAATTTAGCGACCAAAATTATTCAGTGACTATTTTTGCGACTCGATTTAAATTATTATTTAAATAATTCAATTAATGTATTAGCGATCGATTATATCGGTCGCTATTATTTTTAACTTTGCCTCCAATTTAGCGATCGATTTAATATATTAATTTATGTCGCTATTTTTGCGATCGATTTAGCGACCGATTTTAATTATTATGTAAATAATTAAATTAATATATTAGCGACCGAATATATCGGTCGCTATTTTTTTAAAACTTTACCACCGATTTAACGACCGATTTATTATATTAATTTCGGTCGCTATTTTGGTCTTTAAGGAATAAGTAACCAAATTATTTAGCGACCACCTTAGCGACCATCTTATCGGTCGCTATTTTGCGACCGAAATGTAAATCGGTCGCTAACAAATTAGCGACTTGACCTTTTGCGACGAACCATTTCGGTCGCTAACAGAATAGCGACCGATTTTTTGCCATTAGCGACCGATTTTTTCGGTCGCTAATAGTGTTTTTTCTTGTAGTGGAGATTGAAATGGGAGAGTTCTTACCAAATTAAGTATTTTATGATGTTTTCTTTTAACTCTTCCATTTTATATAGAGGTCTCAATACAATTTGTTTGGTTTAAGATGTCTTTTGATGCAAAAATATCATGTAGAAAAATTTAAATTTGTAAGAACAAATGTTCTTAGCCTTTGTATCAAATTGTTTTTCAATAAAATGTATAAAATTTTGCATATATGATTTGACATCTCCTTTTGATTTTAACAAAAGGATGCATCTGGAATGACTATAAATATAAAATATAGTTAGAAAATATTTATGAATATGTACCAAACTTTAGAAAAAGGTCCCAAAATATCCATATAAGTTAAAATATTTTTGAATTTTGTATTGATACTTGATGAATAAGACAACTTTCCTTATTTAGCTAAATATCAGACATCATAAGGTTTATTGACAAATTTATAAATAAAGAAAATTTTTTGATGCAAAATATTCAATTTATTTCTAGACAATAATATCAAATGTTTGAGGTAGTGATGATAGTGAAGACCTTATTCATCGGAGAAGTGAAGATTTAAGTTGTGGTAATAATGTATCTTTACTAATAATAAGGTGGTAGAGACTTCCTTGTATTTTATTTAGACCAATAATCTTTAACGAGTTCATAAACTTGCAAAAATCATTACAACGTAAAGTAAGTTGGAAATTAATTTATAAATAAAAACAAAATTAAAATTAAAATATGATAAATTGTCCATTATCTACTGTATCTATTCCTAACAGTGTGCAAGAAGCTTTAGCTGATTCCAGGTGGAAGGATGCTATAAATGAGGAGATGAAATCCTTGCAAAGAAATAAAACATGGGAATTAGTAGATTGTCCAGTTGGAAAGAAACCAGTAGGATGCCGATGGGTGTATACTGTGTAATGCAGATGGCACAATTGAGAGATTCAAAGCTAGATTAGTGGCAAAGGGGTACACACAAGCATATGGAATATATTACACTGAAATGTTTGCTCCCGTAGCCAAAATTAGTACAGTTAGAGTATTGTTATCTCTAGCTGTAAACCTTGATTGGTTCTTACAATAATTTGATGTAAAAAATGCCTTCTTACACGGGGAATTGTCTGAAGAAGTTTATATGGAGCTACCAGAAGGATGTGGGATCCCGAATACACATAGCAAGAAGGTATGCAAGTTGAAGAAGTCATTGTATAGACTAAAACAATCGCCATGAGCATGGTTTGGTAGATTCACCAAGTCAATGCTTGCTTTTGGATACCAACAGAGCAACCAAGATCATACCTTGTTTCTAAAGAAAAAGGAAGAAAAGATTACAATTCTTATTGTCTATGTTGATGACATGATAGTTACGAGAAACGATCTAGAGGAACGCATGACATTGAAAGGATACTTGGCAAAGGAATTCGAGATGAAGGATCTTGGTCCTTTGAAATATTTTCTTGGAATTGAGGTCTCAAGATCAAAGTCAGGTATTTTTCTCTTGCAACGAAAGTATGCATTGGATTTACTAAAAGAAACTGGAATGACAACATGCAAACCAACAAATTGTCCAATTGAAGAGGGATTGAAGTTGTGCATCGAAGAAGATCAAACTCCAACTAACAAGGGAAGCTATCAGAGACTTGTAGGGAGATTGATGTATCTCTCACACACTAGGCCAGATTTAGCTTATGCTCTTAGTGTGGTTAGCCAGTTCATGCACAATCCAGGTGAAAAACACATGGATGTTGTTATACGGATTTTAAGGTATATAAAAGTTGCTCCTAGAAAAAAGAGTTATGTTTAAGAAGAACTCCAACTACAAGGATGTGATGGTTTATACTGATGTAGATTGGGCAGGTGCTCTTGATGATAGAAGATCAACCTCTGAATACTTTACATTTGTAGGAGGTAATCTTGTCACATGGAAAATCAAGAAGCAGAAAGTTGTAGCTAGATCCAGTGCAGAAGCTGAACTTAGAGGAATGGTTCTTGTACTTTGTGAAGGTTTGTGGCTCAGACTTCTTCTCCAGGATTTAGGGTATGCACATACACGTCCCATTCAGTTGTATTGTGATAATAAAGCTGCGCGCGACATTGCTCACAACCCTGTCCAACATGATCGGATGAAGCATGTGGAGGTTGATAGATTTTTCATCAAGGAAAAACTTGATAAAAATATTTTGGAATTGCCAAAAATTCGATCTGAAGATAAGTTGGCAGACATTCTTATCAAAGCTATGACAAGTTAGATTTTTAGGGAATTGGACCATCGTGACAAAGTAGTCATGAAGGACCCTGATGATGTGAAGTCATATCAGAAGTCCTTTGAAAGATTAAAGGTGCATATATTCCTTGTTGGACTAGATGATGATTTTGAGCAAGTTCGTGGAGAAATCTTGCGCAAAGAAGTGACACATGATTTAGAAGAATGCTATGCATTGATCCGGAGAGAGACAGTTCGACGAACAACGTTGAAAATAGAAGATATGATTTCTGATTCCACAACTATGATGACAAAGAAGCAGCCAGCAAATCACCACATCAAATCGAAGCAATCAAAAGATTTTAAAAAAGGTAACTACAAGTGTACTCAGTGTAATAAGGATGGACACACCAAGGAACGATGCTATGAAATCATAGGATACCCCGAGTGGTGGGATCACAGTCGAGCATCGAAGAAGAATTCAAAAAGAAATCTAACTGCTGCTGTTGTAACTGCCATTGACAAAGAGGACGACAAAGGCATGATGCTTGCTACAATCGCAGGTAGTGATGATTATAATGGTAAGGCTTTAATAAACACATCTACCGTTCTGAATAATGCATGGATAATTGACTCTGCATGTTCTGATCATGTGACTTTTGATGTTAGACAAATTAAAAATCTTAAACCTTCCTCACAAAAAAGTATATCCACAACCAATGGTAGTAAATCCACTATTATTGGAGAAGGAACTGTCTCTATTTCAAACAATTTGAATCTTGATACTGTCATTGTTGTTCCTTCTCTTAAATATAACCTATTGTCAGTCTCGCAAATAACCAAAGTTCTTTTATATGTTGTAATTTTTGGGCCTGACTCTTGTGTTTTTAAGGATATTCAAATGAGAAAGACGATTGGTTGTGGTATTAGGCGAGAGAGGTTGTATTACCTGAACCTGACAGAAGAAGATTCAAAGATACTTGGTCAAGTGCTAGCAACAAAAGGGTCTCAAGAAGCAAGAAAAGGCGATGATATCTAGTTATAGTATAAGCGTCTATGACATGCATCTTTTGGTTACATAAAGAAATTATTTCCAAATGTATTTGACTAAGTAGACACTTCAACTTTTTATTATTATGTTTGTGAGTTCCTTTAATTTTAAATAAAAGTTCTATTTCTTTTATGATCGTGAGACAGTTAAATTAGAGTTGAGTTGAGTTTAGTGAGACGAGAGTAGAGATGAGATGGGTGAGGCAGGACTCTAGGGCTGGGCCTAAAACGTGGTGCTGCTGAGTGAGACGTGGGGTTTGTTTAATAAAGTTATGCGCACTGTCTCTAGTACAGTCGTTCGTGACAGATTAGATTTGGAAACATTTATTTAAATCATACTAAATAAACAAGGCCACGTGAAACTTTTAAGATAATTCATAGCTTGAAAGAGGATGGCAATATGGGTTTTGGATTTTGCTTCAGGAATAAGTGGTGTTGTTTTTTTTTCTTGCTCAGTCATTGATGTTGAGAAAGTTCCCCATCTTGAGGTGGAACAAAAAAATCGTGTGATGCCATCAGTTAACCAACCACGGCTTGGATTGAGTACTTAATTTGTTGTCTAAATTTTCACAAGATATCATGCTTTGAATGACTATTAACAAAATCAGACCTGTTAAAGTTTTCAGCGTTGGTATTTTAGTTTGCTACATAAAGCTTATAAACCATACACACATTCCTTTCCTAGGATGTAATTGTTGGTACTAGGCCGAATAACCTTGGACCATACGAACGCCGAATCTTTGAGTATGCGGGCTTGGTCGTTCTTCCTCCATAGATTCGAAAACGCTGGTAATTCAGTAGGAGACCGAATGTCCGAGGAGTCACCGCAAAAGAGACTTAGGGTTATATGGGGATATAGGAGAGAGTGAATGAATAGTAATTGTCGTCCATTTATACTACGGCCCATAGGTGAGACCCATCTATGTAGATACACGCAAAATATTGGACATTATTCATTCCGTCTCTCTTATATTCCCGTATAATCCTACTGTGTCTTTTGCAACCACCCCTTTTTCGGTGCATCTTAGATACTCGGCCTCTTACTAGATTACCAGCGTATCCGGATCAGAACGACCAAACTCGCATACTCAAAGATTCCGACGTCCGTGTGTTATTCGGCCTCGCAGGAACAATAGCCTTTATCAGAGTATTTCTGAGGATTAGGCTTCACCAGAGTAGGTTCTTAAGAGGATTCAGTTCACCCAAGTCAGGTGGTCTGAGGCAGTTCGTTTCTGCCACCTCTTATAATGCTAAAATCTAAGTTTGAAAGAAAAAAGTTTCATACAGAACCCTGTTATGAGAGTTACTCCTCGCGCAACGATGAAGGTGATCCTTGTTGTTATTCAAGTTGGACCTACAAATGTAGCTGTTAGGGGACATTAATTGATTTTTTTTGTAAGGGGAATGGATGTTAGGGGTACACTTTGGGGTGAAACTATCAAAAGTTTGATGGAGGGACCAAGTGGCTTGTATCATTTAAGTTGGAAAAACTACAAATTAATCGGATATTCGGATACTTGTTTACACCCGATTTTTATAAACATATTATAGATAATCTTAGAATATTATTATTTTTATTAATGGAAAGAATAAAATAAAATAAATAAATATTAATATAAAAATCTAATGATAAATAGTTAAAAGAATGTTTTTTTTTTCCTAAAAATATCATATATATATATATATATATATATATATATATATATATATATATATATATACACACACGAAAAGGAATCATTATTTTCTGATTTTGTTAAAATTATTATTAAATATATGAAATTTTTTTATTTTGTCTTCCATAATATTATATCTAAAAGGTTTTATATTAGAATTTTGTTATTCACCACTACAAGAAAAAACACATTTAGCCACCGAAATTAGCGATCGAATTTTTTCTATTGCAATTAGTGATCGATTTAGTGACCAATTTAATTCGGTCGCAATTAGCAATCAATTTAGTGACCATTTTAATTCGGTCGCAATTAGCGATCGATTTGGCGACCGAGTTAATTCGGTCGCAATTTAGTGACCGATTTAGCCACCAAAATATGATTTTGTTTCACTTTTTTATTTAACGACCGAAATAGCGACCAATAGTTTGCGTCACAAAATTTCGATCGCTAAATCGGTGGCTATTCCATACTAAAATAAAAAAATTATTTAGCGATCGATTTAGCGACCAAATTACAAATTGAAATAGTGACCGAATTAAAATCGATCGCTAATGAGAAAATAGCGACCGAATTGAAATCGATCGCTAATGAATATTATTTTTTTATTATATTTAAATTTTTTTTTATAAATATACTTTAATTGTTTTAGTATATTTTTTACAATTTATTTTTTAAAAGTAATTTATTTTTTAAAAATAATTTTATTTTTAAAATATACTTTAAAAATAAACTTTGGTCTCAACATTAACAAAATGAAGATTAATTTTAATTTTAAATTACTAAAATAAAAATATTATTAAAAATAAATCAAATTTATTAAAAATTTAAATTGTAATAAATTAAGACTAGAGTGATATTAACTATTCAATACATTGTTTAAGAAAAGTTTAATAATAAATATTCTTTAATTTATTTTTCAATTGAAAATTTCAATTGAAATTAAATTATATTTTAAAAATTTATATTAAAAAAATTAAACACATCAAATTATCACATTTTAATTCCTCATTAACTTAATTAATTAAAAAATTACAATTTTAATCAAATTATTACAATTTTATTTTATAATACTTTATTTTTAATCTAATTTTTAAATTTATTACTTTATTATTATTATTATTATTATTATTATTAATTACTTAATCATGGTTGTTGTCATATAATTGATATAAAAAAAATTATATCAATATACATTAGATAATAAATATATTATTTAATTAAACTATTTATAAAAATATATTTATCTTTAGTTAAAATATTTTTTTATTTAAGTATACTAATTAATATTTTTCATTTTTAACATAATTAATAAAAAAGATTAAAAATTTAAAATTAATCTATTTTATAAATACTAAAAATAAACCATATTTAAATAAATGAAAAATATATTTAAATTTATATTCAACATAGTTAAGGTTGTGCCTTTTTAAAATTTATATTCAACATATATTTAAATTTATATTAAAAATAGTTAATATAAATTAAGGTTGTGCCTTTTTAAAATTTTAACTTTTTTATATATTGGATTTTCATTAAAAAATTTCTAAAATTGCATTAGAAAATAGAGATTTAATTATACTTTTAATAAATTTAAGATAATACTAGTTTTTGTTTTTATTTTTAAATATTTATTTTAATTTTTTAAAAGAGAGAAACTATAATTTTAGTTTCTAAATACTAAATTTAAAGAATTAAATTTATTATTATTTAATATTTTAATTTTAGTATTAAAAATATAAATTATATTTTATTAAATTAAAATAATTACAATATATTTTTCTACTTTGAGAATTAAAATTAAAAATATAATTAAACTAAAACTGAAAATATTATAATACATTTTTGAACTCTTTTCTATAATATTTTTATCATTATTATATTTTTCGATTAATTATATTTTTTCCTAATTTTTTATAAAGTCAATTTTAATATTTAAAAGTATTTAACATTTTGAATTCTGAAACTTTTTTCTATTAACAAATTTAAAAACATAATATACTAAAAAAGTATTATACAAATTATTTCATCCAAATTTTTAATAATATGATAAGTCATCCAATCCAGTATATAAAACAAATTTAATGATGATTAAAATAGAACAATATTTATAAGAGACTATTTATTTTTATTTATGATGGATCAAAAGTGGAAATACATTTTAATTTTTAATTTTATTTTTGAAACACATTTAAATTTATAATTAACGAAAATAATGAAAATCTTAATATAATATGATACTTTTAGTAATGTATTTTTTTTAAATTTAAACTTACTTTTTTTAGTTTAGTTTTTAAATTTTATGTATTATTATTGTTAATTGATATACTAGAATAAATTTATATAAAAATAGTCTTTATCTTCAAAATTCACTTCTTCAAATACTATCTTTATATTTTTCTACTGTTTTTTTATAGTTAAGAAGGTCAACATTTGTGCACACACTTAAATATAATATAAAGTAAAGAGTATTTGTTTATTCTATTTTATTTCCAATCTATAATTTGAGTTTTTTTAAATATATTTTGTATTTTTAAAATTAATAATTTTAATATAGTTATCTAAATTTTTTATGTGATGATTTTAATTAATTGATATTATCGAATCATTTAATTTGATTTATTATAGTAAAAATCATAAAAATAAATGTTAAAATAATATTAATTATTTTAAATTATAAGAAAATAAATAATAAAAATAGAAAATAAAGTATTCTATAAAAGAAGACTAATTATTATAAAGATAAAATAGAATATGGGAGGAAATGAGGATGATAATATAGTAAAAATGATAGAGTTTAAAAACAATGTAGAATGTGAGAAGTTTAAAAAGAAAAAAAAAGTTAAAAAGTGTATATATATATATATATATATATATATATATATATATATATATATAAATATAATTGGATTAAATTTATTATCCCCTCATATATTATTATACATTATTAGCGTAATTTTAGTTTAATTAAAAATTAGAATACAAATATACTATACTATACTAATATACCATTATATTATTTTCATTGTATATAAATTACAAAACTAATAATTTTTAAAAATTTTAATGATAATTTTTTTTAACTTATATATTACAAAATATTTTTTAATACTTTAATAAATATAATTTTTTTTAAATATTTTCATTAATTTAAAGTATAACTTTTAATATTTTTTAGTATTTTTTTAAATGTGGATATCTTTAATATTTTGGACATATAAATATAATTTATACATGTTTTTAAACCTTTTTCTAATATTTGTTTTTAAAAATATAATATCATTTTTAATATTTTAAAGATTTTATATTTATATATTTATAAAAGTAATTGGATTAAATTTATTATCCCCTCATATATTATTATACATTATTAGCGTAATTTTAGTTTAATTAAAAATTAGAATACAAATATACTATATTATACTAATATACCATTACATTATTTTCATTGTATATAAATTACAAAATTAATAATTTGTATACTATACTATACTAATATATTATTTGTATACTATACTAATAATATAATATACTATATTATAATATTATTTGTATACAAAACTAATATCTTTATATCTTTATATATAAATATATAAATATGGAAAGATATAAATATATGTAAAAATATAAAGATATAAATATATAAATATATGTAAAAATATAAAGATATAAATATATGAAGATATAAATATATAAATATGTAAAGATATAAATATATATCTTTAATATTTTGTACATATAAATATAATTTATATATATTTTTAAACCTTTTTCTAATATTATTTTTAAAAAATAAAATATTATTTTAAAATTTAATATTTTAATTTTTAATTTTTTCTTAAATATATAAATATATAAATATATAAATATATAAATATATAAATATATAAAGATATAAATAAATATATAAATATATAAATATATAAATATGTAAATATATAAATATATAAATATGTAAATATATAAATATGTAAATATATAAATATGTAAATATATAAATATGTAAATATATTAATATATTAACATATAAATATATAAACATGTAAATATATAAATATGTAAATATATAAATATGTAAATATATAAATATGTAAATAAATAAATATATAAATATATAAATATGTAAATATATAAATATATAAATATATAAATATATCAATATTTAAATATATATTAAAATATATAAATATATTTGTATTTATAGATTTTATAAATATATAAAAATATAAATATATATATATATATATATATATATATATTATATAATATATATATATATATATATATATTTATATAATATATATATATATATATATATATATATATTTATATAAATATATTTAAAGATATAAAGATATAAATATATGTAAAGATATAAATATATAAATATATAAATATGTAAATATATAAATATATATCTTTAATATTATGTACATGTAAATATAATTTATATATATTTTTGAATATTTTTCTAATATTTATTTTTAAAAATATAATATTAGTTTTAAATTTTTTTATTTTTTTCAAATATATAAATATATAAGGATATAAATAAATATATAATATATAAATATATTAATATATCAAA